TTCTTTGTAGTTTATCTTCTACAAAGATAACATCTCTGCTGATGATCACTTTGCGGGCAGTGGGATCCCACAAGCGATACCCCTTTACACTATCAGCATACCCCAAGAATTTGCAGTTCTTAGATTTTGGATCCAGTTTTGAGATTTCTTGGGAGTTGTACATCACGTACGCAATACTTCCAAATATATGGAGGTTTAAATAATCAGCTGATTTACCAGTCCACATCTCCATTGGTGTCTTCAGCTCTATTGCAGTTGATGGAGCTCGATTCACCAAATAACAGGCGGTATTGACTACTTCTGCCCAGAATGATTTTTCTAGGCTTGCATCCCTCAACATTGCTCTTGTTCTTTCTAACAAGGTTCTGTTCATCCGCTCTGCCACTCCATTTTGTTGAGGAGTGTTCGCCACTGCGAACTGTCTTTTGATGCCTTCTTTCCTGCAAAAGTCATCAAATTCTTCACTTGTGTATTCTCCTCCATTATCTGTTCTAAAACACTTGATCTTATTTCCAGAATCAAGTTCCACCCGCGCCTTGAAGTTTTTGAAAGTTGAAAACACGCCTGACTTCTTCTTAATAGGGTACACCCAACATCTCCTGGAGTAGTTATCAATAAATGAGATAAAGTATTTTGCTCCACCTAGGGATGTAACTGGTGCTTGCCATACGTCAGAGTGAACCAATTCTAGAACACTTTTGCCTCTAGAATTTGATTTGTTGAATTTCAATCGGTGATGCTTACTTGTTATGCAATGCTCACAAAAAGGAAGTGTTACCTTTATTAAGCCTAGAAGTAGCTTTTGCTCCACAAGGACTTTCATTCCTTGTTTTGACATGTGTCCAAGTTTCTGATGCCATAACATTGTAGAATATGAACTACATGAGGCAACAGAGGCTTCTTCTTCTAGCAAAGTCTCTCCCTTCAGCATATACAAGTTTGCTGCTATCTTTTCACATTTCAGCACCACAAGCGCTCCACGGAACACCTTCATGATTCCTTTCTGTGTTTCAATCTTGCTTGCATTATTATCCAACAATCCGTATGATAATAAATTTTTCTTCAGGCCTTTCACGTGCTGCACATCTCGAACAACTTTAATTGTTTCATCATACATCTTCAATTTGATGGTTCCCACACCAATGATCTCTAAGGCATGATCACTGCAACTATACACAGATCCTCCTGAGACAGGTTCATAATGATGGAACCATTCTCTTCTTGAGGTCATGTGATATGTTGCTCCTGAATCAATGAGTCATATATCTGCAAATATATTTCTACCTTCCACGGTGGTTGACGCTTCACAACATAGAGCATCTCCATCATCTGAAGTGTTTGCGGTATTGCCTTGTGGATTGGAGTTTTTATTTAGACTCCAACAATCCTTCTTCAAGTGACCCTTCTTTCCATAGTTGTAGCACTTTAAATTCTTTTTTCTCCTCGACTTCGATCTACCATGTTTGTGACTGCTGCTTTGGCCACGATCTGTTGATCTCCCTCTCGTCGTTGTCAACGCTTCTGCCTGTTACAGATTTACTTGTCTTTCTTCCTTGTTCTTGCGCTGATTTTCTTCTTGTAGAACAGCAGCTGCAAAGTCATCGAAGACTAGACTGGTGACATTATTGTTTGTCAAGTTAATGATGAGTTGATCATACAAATCCGATAGACTTTGAAGTAGAAGTTCAGCACATTCTTGTTCTCCTATTTTACAGCTTAAGGATGTAAGCTGAGAAAATAAAGTGTTCAGTGTATTTAAGTGCTCCGTCACTGAAGTAGATTCTATCATACGGGGAGTGTATAATTTTCTCTTAAGGAAAATTTTATTGTGCAGTGATGTGGCCTCGTACAGTTTGGTGAGATGATATCATATCTCCTTAGCTGTCTTCTTCTTCTCGATGCTTGACAATACGTCATCTGCTAATGCTAGATGAAAGTTTGACATATCATTTCCGTCCATTTCGATCCATTTTGTTTTCATCTGTGAAATCTACCGGTCTTTCACTGATAGCTGCTAGACAACCGTCTTTCCTCAGGATGGCCTTCATCTTCAATTTCCACAATGAGAAATTTCTCTCATTTAATTTTTCAATATCAAATTTTGTTGTCATAGCTTCTTTTACGAATAGCTCCCACTATTTCACTGTCGTGAATAGTTCTTTGAAACCTTCAAAGAATGGGTAATAACTTCTTACTTTCTTATGTTGGAGGATCCACATTTTGGTGGCAACCACAAAGACAATAAGCAGATATTACACACTCTAATCTGGCTCTGATACCAATTGTTGCGGAAGACGACTATCGGATTGAGCAAAATCACAACTAATAATTTGACAAAATAAAAATGAAGATAAAGAAGACACAAAATTTACGTGGAAAACCCCTAAATAATATAGGGTAAAAACTACGGGCAACGGTAGAAGAATTTCACTATGAGAAAATAGGAATTACAACCTCTCTCGATCTACCAAGGAGAAAACAATGATAATTCTCTCTTGATAAAAAAAGGAGAAAACAACTCTCAAGAAACTCTCTAAATTCTCTCTAGTATTGGAAGAAACTAAAATATTTTGGGATGGTTTTGAAGCTAAATGAGTTAAGGTATTTATAGTTAAAACTTAAGGACTAATCTTGAAAATACCCTAAAGTACAATAACTAAATGTGAGATTTTACCATTACAAAAAAAATCAATAATTTTGATGAATCATTATGCCAACTAATGTACTTTATCATTGCTGCCAACTAATGCACTTTCGGTGCATTATTAAAACCAATTTGGTGCTTGTATGGCTGGCAACTTTCAATAGTTCATAATACCCATTGCTTTACCGGAAATACCAATATCGGGATGGACTTGCTTTAGGACCTTGAAGATGTAGATCTTGTAGGTTTCAGCACTCTTTTTGGCTTTCTTCTTCTTCTTATCGCCAGTTTCTTTAGGGAGTTTTTTCTCAGCTGGTTTCTTCTCAGCTGGCATCTTCTCGGCTGGATTTTTCCCGGTTGGCTTCTTCTCGGCTTTTGGTGCCATTGAAATATTTGGTTTCAAAGCAGAAAATAGAAAATGTTGTGATTCTCTGACGCAGTGAAGGTAGAAGAGTAAGGTGAATGCATATATAGGGAAAAGTGTGTAATTTGATTGGTTGGTTTTGGTATGGGAGGATAAATGACGTGGAAAGTATGGGCCGTTTGAATTAAGTTGGTGGGATTGGACGGAGAGGATCGGTTCTCGTTCATGCTAAGGATTAACATAAAAGCGGGGATTTAAGTTTCAGTTTTAAAAATATTTGCGCCTTATTCTTATGTGTTGCGGGTAAAAACTAAAGTGTAATCATAATGTGAGCAGCAATGATAAATATTGGTTAAAATTTACATGTATAATTATTAAATTTATTGATCAAATTATTAATATTTATTTTTTTTAAATTTTCTCTAAATAAAATTAGGATTAAAATTAGAATCTATCAAAAAAAATACAGATACAGTTATTATATGTTTGTATTTGTCCGCATACGTTAAGAAAAATAAGGCTCGGGGTGCGTTTGGTTCACGGAATGTAAGATTACCAGTGGGAATAAAAGATTACCAGGGAATAAGATTACTGTAAATGTTGTATTTTGTGTTTGGTTGGTTTAGCAGGAATGTAAGATTACCGTGTTTGGTTAAAGGAATAAAAGATTATTGAAATGTATATTTGACCAAATTGTCCTTATTATATATTTGTATAATATTACAAATCGTAAAATATTTATATATTTTCTTTAAAAAATTAAATTCATAATATTTATATAATTTTTTTTACAAAATTAAAAATATAAAAAAGATTTAATGAAAGGGTAAAATTTTTTTAACCCCTGAACTTCATATAAAATTTTAATTATAGACTTTTTTTTGTAAATCTAAAATAATTTAAGGATAAATTTATAATTTAACCTTCGTAGAATTTTTATTATTCAATAACAGAAGAAAAATATTTTTGAAAAAAAAATAAAAAATTTAAGAGCATTTTAGTTCAAAACGCCGGTAATGTTATAATACCTAAGGGAAGAGAGGTAATGACATTCCCAGTAATATACCCTAAAAAATCTACTATTGGTAATAAAACATTACCAGGAATGAGATTCCCGGCCAACCAAACATGGAAATGTGAGATTCTCATCTTATGGGAATCCCACAATCTTTGAATCAAACACCCCTCAAAGTTTGAAAAAAGATTTAAGACTTTAAAAAAACGAAAATTTCTCTTTTCTAATTTAATTAACTTTTAAAAATTAAAAAACAGTATAATCATTTAATTAGTATATATAGAAATCTTAAATTATATAATAATTTTAAATTTTCAAGAACGACAACTTCACCCACCCTCCTCGATCCATCCCTAATGTCGTATAATATTTTAATATCATTTTAATTTTTGAAAAATACTATAAAATATAAATATTATTTTCAAAAAATCACAAAAATTATCAAACTTTAATAAAAAATAAAAATTTAAATATAATTATGAAATTTTAAATTATTACTAAAAGTTTTAAAGTATCTAAACTATTATAGACTAATTTAAAAACTATTAATATATTAGTAAAAATTATATTTAATATTAAAAAAATTAAAAAAATGTGGAACAAGTTTTTGAAATTTTTTATAAAAAAAATCTACAGCATCGCATAATCACATTTTTAAGATTAAATCAATTTTCTCTTTTAATTTTGTTTAGTGTATGATAACATTAATTTTGATATTAATTGTCACATTTATTTATACTTTAATAACACACTTATTTATATCTTTATGATATATTTCTCTTTTATCTTTTTTAAAAATTTCAGCCATTTTTTTAATTTTTTTTTAAAAAAAGCAACCACAAAAACAAAATTCTACCAATTTAAGGAAACTAACAAATTAAAAACATGATTCATTTCCCATTGAAGTTCTGCAAACTACAAAAAGATCAAAGAAAACATCCTTAAAAGCTGCTGATTTTTACAACAAAAACCTTTTCATTTGAGATGTTTGGAAACTAAGAACTGGTGAACTTAGTAACAGCCTTAGTGCCTTCGGACACAGCGTGCTTGGCCAACTCCCCAGGCAAAACCAATCTGACGGCGGTCTGAATCTCACGGGATGTGATGGTGGGCTTCTTGTTGTAACGAGCGAGCTTCGAAGATTCCTGAGCAAGCTTCTCAAAAATGTCGTTGATGAAGCTGTTCATGATACCCATTGCCTTACTGGAAATACCAATATCGGGGTGGACCTGCTTTAGGACCTTGAAGATGTAAATCTTGTAGGTTTCGACGCTCTTCTTGGCTTTCTTCTTCTTCTTGTCGCCGGCTTCTTTGGGCAGCTTCTTCTCGGCTTTTGGCTTCTTCTCAGCTTGGGCCTTCTCGGCTGGCTTTTTCTCCGCTGGTTTCTTCTCAGCTTTTGGTGCCATTGCAGATTTTAGTTTCAAATCGGGAAAAAGACCAGACAAAGTTGTGAATACTGAACTTGCGATGAAAGGAAACGAAAGGCGAAAGGATTATATAGGGAAGAGGGTTGTAATTTGATTGGTTGGTTTTGGTATGCAAGGATCGATGGCGTGGAACGTATGAGCCGTTGGGTTTGAGTGGATCGCTCCTTGCTCATCCCTTTATGTTTTAGGGATTAATTTAAAGCGGGGATTTTGCTGGGTTTTCTTTTTGAATCCTTGTGTTTCGCGGGCTATCAAAATGTGAGCGGCAGTTGTATTTGTTCACGTGCGTTTAAATACTACCAATTTGGTTTAACTTTTATTTATGTCCGATGTGGATACTAATATTCATTATTTGGACTTGTTTTATTTTTGTGAATAATACATTTAGATTTAGGTTTTATATTTTACTTGTGAGAAAATTCTATAACGCATGTCGTATAGATCAACATATTACTAAAGCGCCGTACGAAATCGTACTACTAGCTAAATCGTCCTTATTAAGTAAATATTAAAAATAATAAATTACAATTTTGTATCTAAATTATCATTTTTATTTAATTTTAGTATTTAAACTTTATTTCTTAAAAATTATTGACATTAATGCTTATATGGTATAACATGTGTCACCACCTATGGGATAAAAAAATAGAAATCATTCTTGCTCTTGGTATGAATTGATCTTAAGTATCTTACATGAGAAACAAATTGTTGGAAATAAAAACTGCAAAATGAAATCGTTAGCACTGACTGTAAATTAATAAAGTAATAAAACAGTAAATCTGAACAATTATGTCATGGTATAAATCACTACCTTAGAAATGAATGTTGCCTCGATGTGTGTAAACGTTGTTATAGGTGGTCGTCCCCAAGTTTAGCACAGCTCTTAGAAAATTTGTACACTTGAATTTTCAGAGTGAACAATGGTGGAATTACTCTTCTCACCAGAAAATATGAAAGCTTTTGAGAGAGTTTTTAAAAGAGAGGAAAAGCTTGAAACGTTGGATGATTTGAAAATAAGAAAAATCATCTCTATTTATAGGCTAATAAGAGGGGTAAAAACTTCAAAAATAAATCAGTCTTAAACACTAATTTAATACCAAAATTAATTGTGGAATAACTGCTTTATTTTATTGTCCCCAAATCATACAGATTCATCCATAAAATAGTTGTTGAGACAAAATTTAAATCAGTAAATCAAACTGTTGAAATTAAGCTATGAAATTTTATATGTTGTATGTTGTAATAATGCTTTGAACCTAGCCACAAAATTGTCCATGCTCACTATATGGAAAGTCAAATTCCAGTATTAACAACTAACACAGTTTTTAAAATACCATATAGCACAACAATAAATTAATTTTCGGGATTACCAGCTAGCACAGAAATTCTTTTGAAAAGAAAAATATTTCAAATTTTAAAAACGAGAGAAGAGCAATTGTGAGATTAGCTGCTTAAGAACTAGTGAACATATCTGAAACTAGTACATATTGATGATGAGTAATTCTTTTCTTAGATAAGTGAATGATTCTAGAAATTTCTAAGATTAGGATTAACTCATAACACACAATTAACATCTTCATCCACCGAAGTCCTTGGTGTGTCTACAAAGAGTATATAAGAAAGTATATATATACAACTCTCTTTCCTCGAGATTATAGTAAGTGTATTAAAAAAATGGTCCAATATTTTTAATAGAAGGTGGTTAATCCTTCTCACTTACATATGTTATTTTATCAAGTTTATCTCAACATAAATCATCCAAATTCTGGCTATGAAATAATTAAGAACTTCTACAATAGAGCATCCTCACAAATAGATAAGGTGAATTTTTTCAAGTTCATATTTAAATGAACCACCCAAACTCTGGGATAAGAAATCACTAAGAATAAATATTTAACCTCAAAAATTGACGAATTCAATATGTCATTCTCACTAGGAACTCCTAAACTATTGGGTTTGAATTCATTAAGAGTTTTAAAGAAAAATCAACCTTTCAAGTGGTAAGTTCACCTAGTCCTTCGTAATTAGGACTACCCACTCAACACTGAGTTGTGAACTTATTGAGAATAGATATTCAGCCAAAAAATCGATAAATCATCAAGTCTTTCTCACTAATACCACCTAAAGCTTAGGTTATGAATTTATTAAGAGCAATTAAACTCATTATGTGCATGTACATTATTCGTTAAAGGGATAGTAAAGAGAATGTACAATATGAGTCTTTTCATGGTTTCATTTGACCATATTGAACTTAGATAACTAAGTTGGGTATCCACCATCAATTCCTCAATCAATGGGCTTTAGACCTATCCCTCTTAATAAATCTAGAACCAATTTCTAACTTAACCCTTTGGTAAGTAGATCAGTTAGATTCCTCTCCGACTTCACATACTCTAAAGAGAGTACTCATTTCCTTATTAAATGTCTCACTGATTCATGTCTAATACGAATGTGTCTCTTCTTATCATTGTAAGTTTGATTTTGAGCCATACATATCCCAGCTTTTGAATCACATAACAAGGACATCGAAGGAGTCAGTTCTCCCCACAAGGGCATTTTTACTAAAAAGTTTTGAGCAATTTAGCTTCTTGCCCAGCTAAGTCAAGAGCAATGAACTTTGACTTCATGGTAGAGCGAACGATACAAGTTTTCTTAGCAGAGTTCCACGAGATCGTTGTGCCACCTAAGGTGAAGACATACCCACTTGTAGAGCTTACTTCACCATTATCAGTAACCCAATTGGCGTCTCAGTATCCTTTTAGTACCGAATGGTAGCAAAAAAAATCGAGTTTCCAATCCATAGTACCTTTAAGATACTTAAGTAAACTTCTTAGTGCAGTGCAATGTTCACCACTAGTATTATGAGTATATCTACTCAACCTACTCACAACATAGGCAATATTTGGCCCAGTATAGTTCATTAAGAGAATAAGACTCCAGATGATTTTAGCATACTCTTGTTGGGAAACATTATTTCCTTTATTTTTAAAGAGTCGTATACTAGAGTCATAAAGAGTTCTGACAAGGGTGACATCAAAACTGTCAAATTTCCTTAACACCTTCTCAATATAATGTGTTTGATTTAAAGAAAATTCCTTATCAGTTTTGGTAACCTTAACTCCTAAGATCACATCGACCTCTCTTAAGTCTGTCGTCTCAAATTTAATAGACAATAAATTTTTTAGTTTTGTTAATGCATTCAATGTTAGTACTGAATGACAACATGTCATCAACATATAGGCTTATGACGACACAATCAATCCCTAACATTTTTAACACACGCATGCATCCATTCCATTAACAATAAATCCAAAGCTCAAGATGGTTTTCTAAAATTTCTTATACCACTGCTTTGGAGCTTGTTTAAGGTTGTAAAGTGACTTTTTAAGTCTACACACTCTATCTTCTAAGTTATGTGCTTCGAAACCTGGATGGTGCTCCATATAGATCTCATCGTCTAGATCTCCATTCAGAATTAAAGTCTTTATATCCATATAATGTAGATGCAACTTATGAATAGACACTATCACAAACAAGGCACATATCGATGAGATTTTCTTGACAAGAGAGTACATATCAAAGAAGTCTATACCAAATTTCTGAGTAAATCCTTTGACTGCTAGTCTTACCTTATATCTTTGAATTAACCCATTTGGCCTAAGTTTCTTTCTGAAAACCCACTTAGACATTATTGACTCTAATTATTCATTTATTGCAGTTCTCCAGAAACTAGCATCGATAGAACTTATAGCTTCATCATACAACTTTAATCTAACAGGAAAGCTTGAGCTATAGGAACAAAAATAGTGTCTACATCACTTAATTTAGAAATAAAAGAAGTTAAAAAATCTAGACCAAAGGTAGTGGCTACTTTTTGGCTTTAACTTCTTCTATGCTCTAATTATATCTCTAGAGTATCCTCAATACGAACAGAAGAAGTTAAGGCACAATTTTCTATTTGAGTTTCAACACCTAATCTAGGTTTCTTTAAAGGGAAGTTATCTTCAAAGAACACAACGTCTCTAGATTCACAAATAGAGAAATCATGAAGATACATGAATTTGTATGTGACACTATTTAAAGTATACCCGATAAATATTGCATCAACGATTTTGGGACCGATGGTGGACTTCTTCAAGTCAGGTAATCAAACTTTTTCCAAACACCCTCACACTATTATGTATTGTAAATTAGGTGTATAATCTTTCTACAACTCGTATGGATACAATCTAATTTCTTATGAGGTACTCAGTTTAAAATATGATTTGTATACATAATGGTTTCCCCAATATGTTATTAGATAACCCAGAACTTAAGAGTGAATATTTCATCATCTCATTTAAGGTTATATTTTTCCTTTAAGCTATTCCATTATGTTGAGGAAAGTAGCAAGAAAATGTTTCATGAATGATGATATTATTTTTACACACTTTCTTAAGAAATTTATATTCATTGGTTTATATTTTAGGTGCTAAAACTTTACTTGAATTTCCTTCCAATCCCTGTGGATATGATACTCACTCATCACTTTATTACTTGTTCGATGTGTATACTTGCACAGTTTGCATTTCAATTTTAGTACACTCACACATGCAACAAATTTTTGGCACCGTTGTCGGGGATTGACAAGTGGTTATGTTCTATAACAAAGTCAATGTCCCAACACAAATGATGTTGGATGCTTAAACAAATGGCACTCTGTTAGATAATTCACCAGACGAGGCATTTGACATTTTTGATCGAATTGCAATTAATTATTATCAATTCCCTTCTTCGAGGCTTGGAACGGGAAGGAAAGTGCAGGGGACATATGAGTTGGATGTTAAAGACTCAGTTTCTGTTTAATTGTTCTTGCTCTTTCCTTCCCGTTCCAAGCCTCGAAGAACGAAATTGATAATCATTAATTGCAATTTGATCAAGAATATCAAAAGCCTCGTTAGGTGTCTTAACTAATAGAGTGCCATTTGTTGAAGCATCAAACATTATTCGTGTTGGGGCATTGACTCTATTATAGAACATAATCACTTGTGTCTAATCATGAAACAC